CGGAGGCGAGTTGCTGCAGGTGGTGCTGGTGCTGCTTTGCGTGCGGACTTGCAAACAGGGCATGCATCATCTGCACCTCCAGCAGATGGCCAGCAGGGGATTGGGCATCAGGGCAACCCCTGCCACATGCATCGCCGCCTTACAAGGGGTAGCAGTGCCCGTGCCCGAGACAGCATGCTGAGTCATGCTTTGCACAATGTCCGGGCAAACAGGCTCAGCATGGATGGCCTCGGACACATGCATTCGCGCTTTGCAAAGGGCAGCGGCAGCCACGCTCCTGACAGCGTCTTGGGTCATGGCTCGCATGCGTGTCGTGCACTTAGGCCTAGCATGGACGCTCCCGGGTCCTCGCATGGATCCCTTAACAAAGGCAGCAGCGACCGCGCCCCTGACGGCCTGCTTTTATCCTTTGGGGATGCGCAGCTGCACAACAGTCGTGCAAGCAGGTCCGCAAACGGTGGCACCAGCAACAGCGGAAGCCAATTCCTGGGTTTCGGGAGCATATACCGGCGAAGCGGTCGTAGTGGCTTCTCCCTCGCGGGCCTGCTGGCCGTCGCTGGCGCTTCCGTTGCACGCAACAGCAGCGCATCTGCGGGATGTGGTGGTGGTGGTGCCAGCAGTGGAGAGGCGCTGTTGGACGGTTTGCTGGGGGACGCCGCAGCGGCGGCCAGGCTGCCGTACAGCCAAAGGTTGCGCAAGGAGCCATCACGCAGATCGAGTGCAGCGACAGCAGCAGCTGCCCATTATGTTGCTGGTGCGGAGGGTACCTTCCGTCCCAGCAAGTCCTTGGATGCTAGCGGCATGAACCCAGCAGCAGCCACTGGTCGAGAACTGCTGCTTGATCAGGCAACCTGCTGCATGGTTAACCGCATGTCCCTGGAATTCCCGTCAGCGCTAGCAGCGGAGCAGGCATTGCCGCGGCCACCGCCTTCATCGCTGCATCCATCAGCTCCGTCGCCAACACGGCCGCCACCATCGCCGGCGCTGTCTTTAGAGACAGAACGGCGTTCGCCGCAAATGCTCCTCCCGCCACCACCGACGCTGCCGCTACAGGCAGCAGCGGGGCCTTTACCTGAGCGACCGGCCCCGCCATACAGCAGCGGCGGCGTCGAACAGCAGGAGCCAGTACCGCCAGGAAACCACGGGGCCGACAACCTGCAGTCCGCTACAGCAGCCTTCTATACCGCAGCAGCCAAGGAAATCAGCATTGAGGAAAAGGACGAGCCCTGCCCCGCAGACTACAAGGAGGGAGGAACGGCTGTCGTTAGCGCCGGCGGTATCCACGGATTGGCTGATGACGCGTCACCCTTGCAGGCATCCATGTCGCAGTGGCTACCGCCGAACGCACAGTTGCTGCTGCCTGGCAATTCACCTGCTGCACCTGCACAACGGGTTGTCGTACAGGCAGAGGCGGACATAGGCGCGCCGGCGGTGTCACCGACTCCAGCATGTCACCCAGCAGAAGATTCAGCATCGGCGAGGTCCTCCCTGGCAGCAACACGAGGCGAAAGGAGAGCAACAAGCGGTGGCCGCGCTAGCGTTGGTTGCTTAGACGACGAAAAGCGGGTCTCAACAGGATCACGCAGTGCCCTGTTGTCCCTTTTCGGAACGCTAAAGGGGATTCGCACAACAACCCGCCACGACGACGTCTGCAACGACGGAAACGCTGCTGCTGGAGAGGTGCTGCCGTCGCAGCAGACGTGCTCACCGCAGTGCATGTCACCACTCGTAAGCGACACAGGCGACACAGGCCAACTGCAGCAGCGGAAGCCGCAGGTGACAGCGCCGCCGCTGCACTCCACCTGCTCAGCGCCGCTGACCGCGCTGGCCATCCCGGGCGCAGCGGCATCGGCGTCAGAGCTGCTGCCCAAGCTCTCCACGCGGTCCGGCTGGTGGCGCCGGCTTGGAAGGAACCCAGAGGACACGTTTGAGGCGAGGGCCTTGAACATGTGCGTGCGTGTGCCTCGGGTTGTATGGGACGCTACATACGAGGCGGTGCTGTTTTCATCATAACGGGTTTCCCCGGTCGATAAAAGCATGTTAGAGCATGCCCCTGGCTACCCTGCTGTTCGCGCTATAGACCAATGCGTGCCCTTTGTTGCGCCCTACCTAACTACGGTTAGCTAGGTTTTGCCCTCTTTACCCTCATCAGCTAGTGCTGCTGGCGGCCCCCGAACCCTTCTGGTAATACCATGACTGTGCACCGTACCGCGACCCCACCCGCCCAACCCCGCCACTCCGCCCACCCGACCCTTCCACCCACACAGGCATGCACTTCAAGTCGGACGCAGCAGCGCCCTGCCGCCACCGCCCAGCGAGCGTCTGCTGCGCCGCCCCGCACGCGTTAGCAACCCCATCATCTCCTCCAACGATGTCGACGAGGAGCTACTGAACGCTGTGAGGTGGCTGCAAACGCAGCGTGGGATGCAGCAGCTGCCCCCCAATGTGTTGTCCGGCGGAAGCCACAAGCGTCCCTCCCGCTCCGTCTCTGGTGGGGATGGGTGGGATTCGGGTGCAGCGGCGGGTGAGGTAGCAGCAGACGGCAGCTTCAGGGCGGCAGCAGGAGGGGACACAGCAGGTGGAGGGGATGGTGGCGGCATGGGCCGACGAGGCCCCGCGTGGGTTGTACGGCGGACATGTCAGGTCCGACAGGAACAGCTCGTCAATGAGGTGAGTAAGTGGGGTTACTAATTTGTGGATAGCATCAGGATGTTTATGTTTATGGTATTGCTGTATGTTGTACCTTTGAGCGGCTGGACTAAGTCTTAAAAGAGCGTCGATAATAATTTAGGCAATACCTACATTCATGCTATGCCTGCTTCAATCGTTTCAGATATCTAATTACCTACGGGGCGCTTTGGGGAGGAAGGCGGCGCTGCACGGGGAGCAGCAGGCGTCCTGACAACAATGACAACAGCAGCAACTACATCAGTAGGAGAGTAAGCACGAGGAACAGGAGGGAAACAATACAGGAGGAGCACATAATGCAGGAAAAAAAACAACAGCAGGTGCCGTATCACACGCTGCTAGCGTACCTGGTCAAATGTACCTCAAGTAGGATTTTGATTATACGATTAGGCTGGTTTAGTACGACAATTAAAATGTGTGAACACGAGTACATGTTCTACAAGGATAGTATATGGATTTATTCAGCGCTGCTTGATCCATGCCGGTATGTAGCAGCGGCAACAACGGCAGCAACAGAAAGATTGGTGCGTGGGATTCATGGTGTGTACCTGTCATATGGGCTTCGACAGGGTACTGCACGTACAGACAGTTCAGTAACGAGAAAGGCCATTCATGTACAGGCCTAGCGTTCCCAGTAGGTCCAGGAGCACGGTTCAAGTATACAAACCGTTCTGTTGTGTTCTGTTGTTTTCCGTACGATGTACTACACTCCGGTGGCGGTATGCAACATGCATAGTTGGACGGTGGTTGTCTCCTGGGCGTGTCATTTTTGTAAGAAGGCTGTGGAATGGACATGGCACTAGGCATATGTTTCCCTATGCGCCTTGTTTGTGCTCGACGTTAAGTTGGTTGTTGGCGTGGGGTGCTCGTGATGGGCAGGAGGGGGTAGTGGCGGGTGTCGTGCTGTACACTACGGATTGGGTGTGACGCAGGCATATGCTTCGGACGCTGCTTCCGTCCTAAATCTCTTAATTTATATTGCATTATAGTAGCCAATCTTAGCTCGCTCAGCAGCTATTGCTGCAGCGCCCTTCGATGCTGCGGCAAATAGGCACAACCTGGGTGCCATAGGATGTCTGTGTACGGCTTCTGTTGCTCCCAAGCCGCTCATTGCACGCACGGTGGGTGCTTGTGCGAATGCCATGGCCCCCTTGTTTAGGACTGAGTGCTGGGGCATTATTGATTGCACGCAACTAGTTGTGTACAGTGCCTGTTGGGTAAGATTGTACCCCTGGCTATCAGTTGTACGGTATGTGGGATTCTTTGCTTTCAGTCTGTGTACCGGTTTGTGGGAACGCCTTTTAGTTCCACTTTAGTTGATTTGTTGTAGGTGGATTACGCCGGTTGCCGTACAGCCGGAGCTGCAAGTTGGTGTATTTTCCCTTGAATGAAAGGGTGTCCTGCTCTAGTTTCCGAGGTTGAATCTTTCCTTCCTGTACTTCATAAGAGCCTAGTAGATGCACTCTAATACGGGGCATACTGGCCATGGCTGGGCCGGTATGGTGGGTTTGGCTCTACCGGTACTCTCCAACTACGATTGTTAACTGTAGCTTGTTGCGCCTTATGTCGGCATCGGTTAGCAGAAGTGAGTTATCCCCGGCTGGCACTCGCACATGTTCACACACACCGCAGTCCCCGGGGTTACTGTTGAAGCCTGGGGAAAGCCCCCAGTGACAGAAATGTAATGTCCAGAAGCCTGTCTGGAGGAAGCTCAAGCGCTGCCGGTGTCCTTTTCATGATGCGTAGCGGCGCAGTCGAAACGAAAACATGCAAGATGGTCTCCTGACAACCGGCGCATGCTGCCAGGCCGCACCACGCCGCAGCACTGTTTTCGGTGGACCCTTGCAAGTGCGAGACCTATTCCCCAAACCCCGCCTTGTAGTATGAAACCTCCTGGCAGCCGTGATGCAGCGCACCACAAGTCTCCGGCAGAGGGATTTTGCTGACTGGACATCACAGCGACCCGGGGGACGCAAGGACCGCCTGCCTATTTATTCAGCATGTACTAGAATATTAAAGATTTGAGCGAGTAGACATTGACTGATGGTGCGTAAGTCGTGGCGCGCACAGAGGAACGTTAAGCTTGCCGTCCTTAGGTAGCCGGCGACCGAACAAACAAAGCGCTGGCCATCCCAGAAGGTAGACATTGTGCAGTTTATATAATTGCCTAACAAGCGGTATTGTTTGCGATGCTTCGTAGCTGCATTCTCAATCCCAAAGGAGGTTAGCGGTTGACCACCATTTCCAAAGCTTGCATCGCGGTCTTAAAGTACCAAACGGTTATGAAGCTCTGCTGTTATACCTTATATTTGCTAGGTGCTTAACGCCAGACATCGTCGCTTACGGAGGTCTACTTACAAAGGCGGAGCCTACGGCGGTGTTTAGGCCACGACTTGTGCCAGATCGGGCTGGACTTTAACGTTACTTGTGGAGCCATAAATCGTAGCGAGAATGGTTGTAGCGCAACGAGTGCTCATAACGGGTGGCAATTCTGGCATAGGCTTCGAGGCTGCCAGGCAGCTTCTGCAGCTGGGCCACCATGTCGTGATTGCATGTCGCGACGCTGGAAAAGCGCAGAAGGCGGTGGAGGCCCTCGCGTAAGCTTGCTTATGATGCTCCATTGCGATATTTGCGCAGTGCTTCGCAGGTTATCATCGTCTTTGCCTCCCTTATTGCCATTGTCACAGACCGGTTGCAAAGGCTAGCGGTGTGTCCGTTGACTCCGCGCTCATGGACCTCACGTCCTTCGCGAGCGTGAGGGATGGCGCGGCAAAGCTGCTGGCACGCCACCCTCGGCTAGATGTGATGGTGTGCAATGCCGGTGTGATGTCAGGCACGCGCGGTTTCGCAGCGCCGCAACTAACAGCTGATGGTTACGAGACGACCCTGCAGGTATGACATGCAATAGTACGACCCGGCCATCACCGCTCTTCCTTGGCTTTACACCCCCGTGCGTTTCCCTCCCTAATCTCATCCCTTTTGCTTGCCAGGGCTTCCGCACCTCTTCCTAACCCGCCCGAGCGACCTCTCTTTTTTCTTACGCCACCATCCTGCTTCCACTCCTTCGTCCGTCTCTCGCACCGGCTTCTCCCTCTCCCTACCCATCCCTCTTTCTCTTCTTCCCCCCCTCCCGCTTTCCCCAGGTAAACCACCTCTCCCACTTCCTGCTGGTCCACCTGCTGCTCCCCGCCCTGCTGGCCTCACCCGCAGCCAGGGTGGTGGTGGTGTCCTCCGAGCTGCACCGCAAAGCACTCGCTGAAGCCCCCGCTGCCGCCGCTGGTGCCGGCAGCACCCCTGGTTCCACCGCTGCTCCTGCTGCTCCCAAAGGTCCCGACGTCGGACTAGCGACACCCGAATGGCTTACACGCCTGCGCTCTCCGTCGGCAGCAACCGCAGCAGGAGCAGCAGCAGTGCCGGCAGCGGAGTCGAAGCGGCTGTCCGGAATGCAGCTGTACTGCATTTCCAAGTTGTACAACCTGTGGTTCGCTTTCCACCTGGCGTCGTTGCTGCCGTCGAATGTGACCTGTAACGCGGTGTCGCCGGGATGGGTGCCGGGTACGGCACTGGGGCGGGGAGCTCCCTGGTTGGTGAGGGTGCTGTATCAGGTAGGACTCTGGATGGTACGGGAACGGATGTACGAGTGGATGGGGGAGAGGTCCCGGTAGTCCTACGGGTGCGCGGTCGTGCCGTACTCTGGAGAAATGGGTTGTTGGTGAGGGTGCTATGCTGGGTAGGACTCTGGATGGTGCGGATGTAGGGTAGGTTGGAAAGCGTAGAAAGTATGACGTCCGGCGCGTTATGGGAGTGTGCCGGTATGATGCGTTTGCTGGTGTAGTAAGCTCGGTAGGTGGGCTGTCGGGTCGCTGCGCTTGGTTTCGGTTTGCTGCGGTTGCACTGCCTTCCAGGTGCAAGTGCAGCGGCTAGCTGCCTCACATCCGGCCTCGCATGCCTGCCTCACATGGCTTAGTGTGATTTAGGAAGCCCTCACATGGCTTTAGTGTGACTTACCACGCCGCCCTCCAACCCTGCTTTCCTCCTTTCCGCCCTCCCTCCTGCAGACCCTCTGCCCGCTCATCCCCTTTGCGGTATCCGTGCCCGAGGGCGCACGTCGCGTGGTGTCGGTGTGCGTGGGGGCGGATGAGGGCGCTGTGCGCGGGCGCTACTTTGCCCGCGGCGCCCAGTCTGACAGCAGTTCGGAGAGCCTTGACACGGCGGCGGCTGCGGAGCTTTGGAAGCTCAGCATGCAGGCGACTGGGGTGGAGGAGTACCTGCCGCCGCAGCAGCAACCACAGGGGCTGCAGCAACAGCAGGAGCAGAAGGAGCAGGAGCAGCAGCAATAACAGTATGTAGAGTCAATTGTCTTGCCGCAGACTTGGCGCAGATAGGGTGGCACCAGCAAGGACAACCGGAAAGCTGGAGAGGAGCAGAAGTAGTGGTGGGGGCAGCACCGGCAGTAGGAGTGGGAGCAGGAAGCAGCGGGGAGAGGTGGCGCCGGCAGCGCGAGCTGGCAGTAGAGCATGTGGGTGTTTTTTTCGTGTGGAAGCTGTTGGGGGTGTATGTGGGTCCGTTGACTGGCTTGGTGTCTGCGCTGGTGGTTAGCTTGTTTGCATGCACGCGTGTTTGATGGTACTGTAAATGGCAGCGTATGTTTGCATGCTGGCAGGCAGGCATGCTTGTGGCTCCGGGTGTATCCTTACTGATTAGTGTTTGGTATGGTATGGTCAGGAAGCCCAGCTAGGAATGGTAGCAGTCTGGCAGTGTTTGGGACTGGTACGGTATCTGCCTAGTCGAAGACACACCATGATGTTAAGGGTAAGGGTATTGTACTGTTTGTTGTCCCAGGAGCTAGTTTGTTACATAGACTTACGTGGGGATGAAATCTGTAATCCACGGGGCCCGGTCTGATGTGTTTTTAAGCCATCAGTATTGCTTTATCACTGCCACTCACATGGGGGAGGCCCATGAAACCTCCCAGCCGGTCGTAGCCCCCCTTATAAGCGCTGGTGGTTGTCGACAAGGGAGTGAGAAGGCAGCTGCCACGCCTGCCAGTCACATATTAATATGATGCGACATGCTAGACCGTCTTTGCCTTAAAGACTCCATAGTTTCCCGCAGCAGTGTTCCCCAATCAGCCGTTGCCTGCTCCGAAACAATATCGATCACCTCAACCGAAAAGTTCAGTCATTGACTGTTTGCAAAGATACTGTGTGGAAGAAATAATCATGAATCTATCGCTTATCGCCGCACGTTAGTCAGCCTGGCGAATTGGCCTGGACCAACAAGACAGCCAGCGCATACAAGCACCTATTGCGTTTCCTATTGCCCTCACTCCTCTATACAATGCAACGGCATCGCCGCCTGCTTCGCCTTAAAAGCACAGTTCCGCAGCTTCTCTGCCAGAATGGGCTGCGTCGCTTGCAGGTATGCTACACTCGTGCATTTTGGGCATAGTGAACACTTTTATGACGTTTATAAGTGTACTGATTGGTCGTTTAGTCACCGTGCTTGAACATTAAGTCCCTTCCGTCGTTAGGCACCGGCGCCCATGCACTTACTGGAACCCTCCATACCGGTACATATCTAGGTTACCTCCGGGGCGCTGTCATGTTCGAAGGAAGCAACAGAAGCTGCGACATCGTCATCAGACTCCACCAACCTGCACTCGGTGGTCAGCATCGCCGAAGGCCCCAACGCCTTTGCCGCGGCGACCGTAACATTCACGCAGGCGGAGGAGGCGGTGGGCTACGGGAACCAGAAAGGAGCACCGACGGCACAGCATGCGGCACAGGTGCGCAGGACTGGCTCATGTCGGGATGCCTTACATCCCCAACATCCACCACATCCCACAACGAACCCAGTCTCGCATCCACCCCATGCGAGAACACCCAGCCATCATGCGTGTACCTTCCATCATGAGGCGCCTCCCGTGCACATACCAGTCTGTCCAACCATGCAGGGTAGCAGCCGTAACCCAAGCACCAAATCCCACATCCCGCGCCGGACGTGACACGTTGTACGATGTATCTGACCCCTTCCCTACTTTCAAATTCTTAGCCAACCCTTGTTAATACCTGTTGCTACTCAGGTTGCTTTGCTGGCTGTTCGCGGCGCCCTGGGCTGTCAGCGGCCTCCCAGTGCGCTGGTCGCCTCCGTGTCTCTGGATCTGCCACGTCCTGCCGTACAAGCGGTGGCTGAGAGCCTTTCCGCGGCGCTGAAGGAGAGTGGGACACCGGTCATAGGTAAGGAAGGGAGGAGTAACGGTGGAATGGAATGGAAGCAGGAGGTGACAGAAGCCCCAACTTGGTCCATCCGTTCTTTTCTCATACCAAACCCGTGTCAATGTGCAGGTTGCAGCTCACGGTTAAGAGTTCCGGATGAGATACGGGCCAACGGACTGCGAGGAGGAGGGAGCACCGCGGGAAGAGGAAACGGCGTTGGAGCGGCTGCTAGCAGTAGCACTAGCACCAGCATGGATGGCGCGCGAGGGAGCGGAGAATCGTCCGAGGCATCCACCTCCCAGCAATCACAGCAGCAGCAACAGCAGCCTCGTCACTTGCACCACATCACCCTGGCAGCAGCACACTTGCCGGATTACGAAGTGTACGGCATTCGGAGCGAAACGGTACGGCAAAGGGATGGCTAGCTTGGGTCCTCACCGAATCCCTGCGCGCCCGACCCCGGCTCTTTTCCTTTCTCCTCCTTGTCTCAACCCTACACTCACCTCCCCTCTTCCCCCCTTCCCAGGCCTCCCTGCCCCGGCTGCCCTACCTAGCTGAGTCGCTGCAGGGCCGTCGCCCGCCGGCCTTCCTGCTGTTGACCGGGGCGGACTCACAGGCGGCGGAGCTGCTGGCCAGGCTGCAGGTGGGGGCAGGGGGTGAGGGTTTGCGGAAGGGAGAAAAGAGACCTAGTGGAACCGTAATTTTGGTGTGGTTAGCCTAGGCTGCAGGTTGGGGGAAGGGAACGCGGGCGGACTCGCAGGCGGCGGAGCTGCTGGCCAGGCTGGTGGGGGATAAATGTTGACACAGACCAAAAGAAACTCGTTGGGGCAAGGCCTAGGCTGGGCTGCAAGTGCTGTGCGGGGCAAGTGGCGGTGTGCATGTGTTCATGAGCGGCTGGGGAAGTGCGGGCCATTGAGGTTGGACCCCGGGGCCAGTTGGGTCCCGGCCGGTTGGTCAACGGCACAAGGCCCCCTTTGCGTCTTTCCCACCCTCACCCCTCCTCACACTAGCCTCCCTGCACGCCACGCCCCTCCCTGCACGCCACACCCCTCCCTGCACGCCACACCCCTCCCTGCACAGAACCTCTTTCCGGGCTCCTGCGTGGGCGCCGGAGTGGCTGCGCAGCAGTCCGCTAGGGACCGCTCGCGACTGATGTTGGTGGGGCCTGGCGGGGGCAGCAGCAGCAACGGCAACGGCAGCAGCACAAACAGCGGTGTTAGCAGCGGCAGTAGCAGTGGCGGCAGTGGCGCCAGCAGCAGCAGTAGCAGCAGCAGCCTACAAGGGGGGCCAAGAGAGCAGGGGCCGTTCGCTTCCCTCGCTGAGGACGCTTTCCTGGGAGGGGAGGCGGGAGGTGCAGCTGGGGAGTTGTACGGCAGCGGGAGGAGCAGGAGGAGGGGCAGACCGGCGTCGGACTTTGGTAAGCTTTGCAGGTGGTTGTTCCGTGTAAGCGATGCGCCCCTCATGTAAGCAAAGCACCTCACTCGCGAACCCGAACACGACCCTTTCTTCTTCCCCTCGCTTTCCTTCTCTCCTCTCCTTTCCTGTCCTCAACCCTTCCCCTCTCCCTCTCCCTCCACCACCCCACCCCGCACAGAGGGCCCCTTCCAGCGCATGCTGCTGGGTCGGGAGGGCGCCCCGGGGGCCGCTGGTGATGGGAGCAGTGGGGCTGCCTCCACCACCTCCACTACCACCACCACCGCCAGTAACGGGAGTAGCCGTAACGCTGGGAGCAGCAGCAGCAGTAGCAGCAGCAGCACTAACAACGGCAGCAGCGGTGCAGGCACCCGAGTGCCCAGCGCCTTCCACCGCAGGAGGCCACAGCCTGCCGCAGGCAGCTCCTCATCCTCCTCGCCCACTCAGCCCACGTCCTCAACAGCAGCAGCATCAGCAGCGGAAACAACGACAACAGGGAGTGGCTCGTTCTCTGCCTCCTCCTCTTCCTCCTCCTCCTCTTCCTCTTCCTCTTCGCAAGGCGGAGCAGGCAGCACCCAAGCAACCACGGCATCACCAACACCATCATCAGCATCCGCAGCTGCAACAACCGCAGCGGCGGCGCAGGAGGAGGCTGCAGCGGAGGCATTCGCTGCCTCCCTCCGCTCCTTCCAACCCTCCTTCGTCATGGTGGGCGGGGAGGTGCATGGTGGGGGCTGTGCGCTGCTCGCAATCTACCCTAAAACCACAACTCCAGCAACCCCCGCGTCGTCTTCGTTATCAGCAACAACACCAGCAACAGCAGCAGCACCTGGGTTATCAGGGTCAGGTGCTGCTCCTGCTGCCCCTGCCCCTGCTACGCTGTCCCGGCTGCCCGGTGGCGCATGCGACCTGCTAGCTCGGGTGGCGCTGGGGAGCGACCAGCTGCACCACGTGACGCTGCGGGTGAAGCGGGCGGGGAAGGGCGGGGGGGGCTTGGTAGGGTGGGGTGGGGTGGGGTCGGAATAGACCAAACCATAGGAAACCAGGAATCCGGGCAGAACACTGATGGGGTGGGGTAAGGTGGGATGAGGTGTGCTCCGGGAGGGCTTGCTGGCTGGTGTTCTTCGGGTCAGGAACCGATGATAAACCTCGCCCGACTTGGCTGCTTGCTGGCTACGTGCTTCCCTTCTCCTCCCTCTCAACACCTCCCCCGCCCCATCCCCCTCCCCCCACGCAGGGTGCCGCCCTGTCCGCCATCTCTCCGCCCCCCACCGGCCCCGAACCCTCCTCCGCCACCTCCCCCTCGCCCCCCGACAACCCCTACTACTGGCTGCCCGCCTCCGCCACCCCGCCTGCCCTCCGCATCGACCCCCACCTCCATGCACCCCTGCTGCAGCAGCAGGAGGAGCAGGAGGAGCAGGGGCAGCACAAGCACGACCAGCAAGAGGGGCAGCAAGAGGGGCAGCACCCGCAGCCTTTGGCAACTAGCCCAGCTGCTGCTGGTAACGCAGGCGTGACAGTAAGCGGCAGTGGGGAGGTAGACGCGGGGACGGAGGGCGCAGCAGGAGGGGAGACGGAGGGTGGCGAGGAGACTGCGGTGGAGGAGGCTGAGGAGGCGGTGCCCTCCGCTGCAGCGCTGGCGGCGCTGAGTGATGGGCTGTCGGGGCTGCCGCTGTTCCCGCTGGAGGGCGCAGTGCTGTTCCCGGGGCAGACCATGCAGGTGCGGGGGGGGGGGGGTAATTTGGAAACAGAATCCGCATTAGGCTGGATAGTTGGGTTAGCACATGATTGTAGTTGGGGAGGGGGCGCTGAAAGAAGGGGGAGAGGAAGGGGGATCAATAGAGGTTGGGATTTCCGATTTCGATCAAAATCGATCGAAGCTTAAGGAACCAGGAAATAGGGCAAGGCAATGGTGGAAGGAGGCGGCAGGGTGCGATAACCGCCCGCACCCAGCCCACAACGATACGTTCTTGTAACCTTCCGCAGTTCAATCCTGTCGTACACTAACTCCCCCAGCAACTCCCTCCCTCTCTCGCCTTCCTCCTGCCCTCCTCCTTCCCACACTACCTCACCCCTCCTCCTCCCGCCCTCTCTCTCCACCTCTCTCCCCCGCAGTTGCGTGTGTTTGAAAAGCGCTACCGGCTGCTCCTGCGTGCCTGCCTGGAGCAGGGCACCGCTTTCGGGCTGTGCTGGCGGGGCACGGGTTGTACGGCAGTGGTGCGAAGCTGGCAGTGCGCTGGGAACCCTGCCGCCGCCGGTAACAGCAGTAGCAGCAGCGGCACCAGCAGTGCGGGAGGGGTAGCGGAAGGAGGTGGCCGGGAGGGTGGTGAGGGTGTGGGAGATGTGATGGTGATGCTGGAGGGTGGCGTGCGGTTCAGCTACGAAACGGAGGGGCTGGGGGTGTTGCCGGCAACGTATGGGCTCAATGTGGCTAAGAGGTGAGAGGCAGGGAGGGTGTGAGGGGGAATGTGCGGGGAAGGTAGGGAGCTATGCATGTCCACGTTACATGCGTACCGACAAGATTACATAGCTGCTCGGTTGTGGTACTCCCCGCATCACGTATATCGATTCACGTCCTCCGTTGCCCGCATGAATCAATGACCATGCTCTATACCACATTAAATCTATGATGTCGTACACGGTGTCGTACAAATCAAAACGCCGTACACGCAGGGCCGAGTATGTTTTGGACGAGCCGCCTGCCAACGATGACGACCTGGCTGCCATGTGCTCCGCTGCGTACGCCATCATTGACGGCATAGCGGGGGCGCTGGAGGCGGGATCGGTGGGTATGGTGGGGAAAAGGATTGACACGCATGACCCATGGGTCAGCAGCTGAGGGAACAGCCACGTCAGCAGCCAACACCTTACACGTCACATTCCGCTCCGCCCCGGCTGTGCTGATGGTGGTGGTGGTGGTTGCAGTGGCCCCGGCTGCTCCTGGATATAGCAGTACCAGTATATGGCTGCCGAGCGCCGACGACCCACTTTACCCCACCCCACCCCATCCCACAGGCACCACCCGCGCGGCAAACCGCTCGCAACTTTGCCAACGCCCTCCACTTCGCCAGCAGCATGCAACCCACAACCACCCCCGCAACCCCTGCTGCTGGCAACGCCAACGCCGACACCGCCACCACCACCACTCCCCCCAGCACCAACCCCAGCAGTTCAGGCATCACCAGCACCTCTTCCTCTTCCTTCGAAACCACCTCATCCTCTTCCTCATCCAAAAGCGACAGTGAAAGCGATGATGCAGCTCTGTTGGCTGCTGACGTGGCGGAGGCCAAGCGCTGTCTTGACGCCGACACCGCCTCCCTGCTGTCGCTCTACCTGGCGCCGCACATACCCGTGCAGTTGGAGTCGCTGCGAAGGGAGTGAGTTGGTGGTGATGGGGGAGGCGGGGGGCTTCGCGTGTGTGTTTTTTGTGCTCCTCATGACTACGTGTGCCTCTTGAGCACATGATGAAATGCTGTATGCGCGAAGAACGCTCCTATGCCGTTTTCTGCAGCAGCACGCCTTAACCTCCTCACTCTCCCTTCCTTGTCATGCGCATGCCCATCCACGATTTTGCAAGCCTTTACACATCTCGCCGCCTCGTCATCAATCGTGCCACGCCACCCCCCATTGCACAAGTTCATTTCAGCTTCAATGCTATCCTTCCTTTCCGGCTCTTAACCCGCCTCCTCCTAACGCCACGCCCTCCCTTTCCTCCCGGCCTCCTTTTCACCTCCTTCCGCACGCCAGGTGGTTCACCACCCGAAATGCGCTGTGGCGGCTGCAGCAAGAGGCTTCCTGGCTACGAAACAACCCGCGCGTGTGCATGGCAGTGGCATCCAGCGTGCTGCGTCTGGCTCGGGATCACCCGCTGCGGCTGATGCTGGGGCTGAGCAGGGTGGCAGCTAGCAGCTGATGGGCGGGCGCGCTGTCTAAGGCTTTGCGGGGGCTATTAGCTGATGGGAGGGCGTGTTTCCCCGGGAGCTGTGCGTTTCTGGGGGTTCGGGTTGGCCAACGCGAGCGGTTGAGAGGGATATGGGGTGTGAGGTTATGTCGCATGTGCAGTATCGGAGTGCGGGTTGTGCGGGAAGGACGAGGGATAAATTGCGTGCAATGGCAGAGGAGAGGGGTGTTGGAAGCTCTAAGCACCGGGCGCGGACTAGGTCTGCTCACGACGCGTGCTATACTGCTCATGCATGTTCTATACGTTTGTGAAAACGTGTGTGCTCTGGCAACGGACTTCGTTCTTGCTGTCCACGTCTCCCCATGGCATTTCGGGCTCATTGGCGTCAGGTTGCTTGGACCAGGCGAAAGCCTTGCGATGCCAAAGGACCGCATAATTCATCACCCATTGCGAAGACTACCTGTGCATCGCCGATGCAGGGTTGGTGTTAGCGCGTACGGTCATGCTTCTTATGCAAATCGTCGCGAATGGCTCCCGCTGTTGGACGAGCATGCTTAATAAGCCTAGATCGCGCCCCAGGAACTTTTAAGCCCCAATACGGCTTCCGCGGGTCGATTAAGATTGCATCTTCCATAGAGCAAGGGTCGGAGCTTCGAGGTCTTTAGCTTGCAGCTGTCATATCCTATTAACACCCCTTTGCGACCCGGGCAGCGTACCCTATATCTTTTGATGCTGTAATATGTGAATATGGTTCCTAGGAGCGAGACGTCCTAAGTTATCCGAGATCACTTTAAGTGGTATAAAGCGACAGCTCCGCGCAATATAGTGACAGCCCGCCGAGGCAAGCCGTGAAGCCATGCCAGTTCCAGCTTTTTGGTGAAGGCAGACAGAGTGGTAGTGGACTTGACGGCTTGACGCAGTTATATCTTTCAGCCATGAAGTTTAGCATCCGCGGCCATGAGGTCGACTTCCCACACCAGCCCTATGGCGTGCAATTTAGCTTTATGGAGAAGATGCTGCGTACACTTGACGAGCAGGGCAACGCGCTGCTTGAAGCACCCACCGGCTGTGGCAAGACGCTTAGCCTCCTCTGCGCTGCTCTTGCATGGCAAGAGAAGCGCAAGAAGGAACTTACTGAGCGCGCCATCAGTAAATTGACTCGCAGCAACCATGAACAGCGGCGGAAATTGGGCGGCAAGGGGCACAGCACGGGCGCTTATGGCAGCGCGGATGACTACATGGATGCGGACGATGCCGACTTCGTGCCGTCTCCAGACGCTGCACCTAAGCGTGTTCGGGGCCCCCCGAAGTCCACAGATCGACCATCACCGCAGTCTGCTGGCTCCCCCGACACGCCGCAAACTAGCTCGGATGGCTTGGGCAGCCTCTCTGGAGATGATGATGAGCCAGCCAAGCCGCCCAAAATCTTCTTCGCGTCGCGCACGCACTCCCAGATTGCGCAAGTTGTGCGTGAACTCAAACGCACGGCATACAAGCCCAGCATGGCAATCCTGGTAAGGCTGGCCCATTCGGCCCCTCCTTACGTACCACCACGGGTCCACCACCCTGCCCCGCTCCCAACCTAATCTCATCCACCCGCATTTACAGTTTAGTGTCTTTCTCTTTGCCTTTCTCTCTTCACCCCTGGCCCTCCCAGGCCGCCAAGCAGCACTACTGCATCAACAAGGCGGTCCAGCGCAGCGGGCGGGTGGATGAGGAGTGCGACCGGCTGATGCGCGAGGACGCGTTTGGCTGCAGGTTTAAATCCAAGCAGGGGCACCACAAGACCGGCCGCGTGCATGTGGAGGTGGGCAGGAGCTGGATCCTGGATGGCATAAGATCCGGGGGGGTCCAATACACAACAGCGGTCTCCTGCTACCCCACTTACCTGTAGTTCACGTCTGCCCCCACGCCTGTCACAGTGCGCCCTTCCATCTCTCCCTCTCTCCCAAAGGTGCACGACATCGAGGAGCTGGCTGCCGCCTGCCGCCCCGCCAAGACCTGCCCCTACTTCACGGCTCGCGACATGGCGCTGACGGCGGAGCTCATCTTCTGCCCCTACTCCTACCTGCTGGACCCAGTGGTGGGTGGGGATGGGTGGGGATGGCTGCATGAATTGGAATGGCGTTTTTAGTGTGAACGGCACAAACGGCTCGATGGGTATGATCTGTCGAAACGCGGGGTATGACCCAAGGAAACCTACCGGATGGGCCCCAAGAGGAGTCGGACTTTGGCGCAGCCGCCTTGTCGTTCGTAGAAGGAGGCCTCTCTGGACACCCTTTAAGCGCTGAGTGCTTCCTGCCCCATCCGCCTTTCTGCCGCCCCTCAACCCTCCTCGTGTGCGCCCTGGCATGCACCCTCCCATCTCAGGTCCGCGCCGCCCTTGGAGTGGACGTGAGCGGCTCGGTGCTCATATTCGATGAGGCGCACAACATAGAGGACGTGAGCAGGTGGGTGGGGGTCAGGGGGAAACAAAGCAGGGAAAGGAGGTGGCGGGGTGTCAGTAGGCCTGACGTTAGGTAGGGGCTGAAGTCTAGGGCAGGCGCACAGGATGCGTGGCCGAGCATTAACCCACCGCTTAGGGACGCCGGCTTACACTGCACTACCATGCCTGCGCCTTTCCATATCCAGTTGCATGATACGACTTACAACATGCTACCCCTCCCACTCCTTTGCCTTCTCACCACCCCTTCATCCTATCGCGCCCTCTCCCTCCCAACCTCAACCTCGACCTCAATAGGGAGGGTGGCAGTATGGATCTGGATCTAGACGCGCTACGTGACGTGGAGGGCGCATTCCGGCTAGCAGCGCAGCTCACGGGGCGTCCCGACCTGTACGACCCGTTGGCGGCGGCTGCGGGGCGCTTGGCTGCATGGCTGTCGCGGTTCGAGGAGGGGGCAGAGGGCATGGCGGCGTGCGGGTTTGAGGAGCATGAGGCGGTATTTGCGGGGAACAGGGTGCGTTGGGGGTTGGAGGGGAGGCGGCGGCTTCGGGAGCATTATGACCGCTTGGTGGATGTAGTGGTACACGGGGAACAGGGGTATGAACAGGTTACGTGTTAGCGAGGAAGGGTGCCCTTGTTAGGACACCTCTGACGGCGTTGGCAAACCAACTGAGCCGCATGAGTGTACTGGCGGTAGCTGTCGCCGCTTGTCTGCTGTACAACTCCGCATACCCCCCTCATTCCCTGCAGGCGCTGAACGCGCTGGATGAGGCGGGGCTGGGTCCTGCGGCGGTTTCGGAGCTCTGGCGAGCCTACGAGCTGGCCAAGGCGTATGAGGAGAAGGCTACGTTTAGCATGGGTGGGTGGATGTGGGGGCATTCCTCATTGGGCGGGCGCATGCATGCATGCACGTAGGAAGGGCGCATGCATGCATGGATGCGTGATCGAGCTCTTGCGACCCATATGGCGTGCACAGGCCAGGCAACAGCGCCGGGCTTGTATGTAGAGAGCTCCTTTGGTAACGCGGACCCTTGAACTGAACGCATGACCCCATATCACTTCCTTCCACGCATCCACCTTACCTTCCCGGCCTCATTCCTCCCCTTCTCGCTTTCCCGCCAATCAGAGGGTGACGCCGCCAATGAGGCCATCCCGGCCTCCGTCACGCGCCCCGGAGCCGGCGGCGGCGCGCTGGGCACTCTGGGTCGCCTGCTGACCGTGCTGCGCCTCATGTACGCCCCCGCACCCCAGCCGCCCGCAACCCTGCAGTCCTACCACCACCCGCAACAGTCCATGCATGCCATGCAGCAACAACCCGGGTTCGCACCCCACCCGCTGCACGCGCAGCATGGACCAGCTAAGCAGCACCCCCAACACCCACAGCAAACCCAGCACCCGCAGACGCAGCTGTACCCCTCGGGAGGCATGCTGCCGACCCAGATGCGCCCCGGCGGGACTCAGGGCGGCAGCAGCACGCAAGCCGTCATGAAGAACGGCGGCGGCTTCATTCCCAGCGCGAGCAGCAACCTGGCAGCGGGTGGCGGGCGGGGTGGAGGTGCGCTGCACGCCGGGGGAACATCAGGAGGAGCAGGAGGGGTGCTGCCATCCCTGGCGGCTGCTGCTGCCGCTGCAGGTGGTGGTAACCGTGACAACAGCGGGGACTACCGAATGGTGGTGAAGCGCTGGATTGCGCATGGAGCAAAGGACCGCCGCAAGGCTAGGTGCGCGCTTGCGAGACGGTCGCAACCCCCTTGCTGCCTCTGTTTCTGCGCGCTAGCTGCTTGTAGCTACGGTAGTCATTGCTGCGCACAGCTTGAGGATGGAGGATGGATGTGGGTCCGTCATACGCCTTCTTGGTCCACAACTCCCTCCGTTGCTCTTCTATACCCCTACACCTACGCCGTTTCTAAGATTTCCTCCTCCATCCGCCTCTGTGCCGTACACCACCCTCCCACCCCGCCAGATCCGGATTTCTTTTTCTTGCTTAGTTTTTGTTTTACAGCTAATCCCCGTTTTTTCTCCGGCCCTGCCTCCTTGTCACGCCGAGCACATGTGGGGCCTTGGTGACCGAAATTTGACAGCATTCCCAGCAATAGACAACTAGAACAGCCAGCTTTCTTCGGCCCGCTCGCTGGAGTGTCAACCTTTCATCAGCAACGCGGACCCGGTCTCGGTAGGGAATACTAACCAACCCTTTGTCTTGTGGCACCCAGCCAACTCCTACCCCCATTGTTTTGCCCTAACTTGTGGTCTCCTATGGTTTGATATGGTCTTTGACCCCCCGCCAGATCCCGCATGCGGCGCGGGGATGACGGGCTGGGAGACGCGCCGGTGGGCCCCGGCGCCGCGGTGTCGCTGGGTCTGTGGTGCTTCAACCCCGCTGTGGCCTTTCGGAACCTGGCGGATAAGGCCCACAGCGTGGTGCTTACCAGGTGCGGGGTCACGGCTGCTTGTCAGCGTACGGGGCGCTGCGTAGCTGCTTCCCTTCCGATGGGGTGTGTGTGGCTATATTGTTATGAGAGGGCGGGTTTGCGGTACGGCATGCTGGTGTAACCTTCACTTCGCTACAGGGCGCGTCGTCATTTCAACCTCCCCATCCTCACAAATCTACAAGTTCAACCCCACCGCTCGCCCATAACCCTCCCATCGGGTACCCTTCTCCTTAATTATTCTTCCTTGCTTTCCCCAATGCCATTCCACCCGCTCCTCCCCCTCTATCCTCATTGCTTAGCCCTAACCTGTTGTTTTGACATACTTTCGCCTCCCCCCAGTGGCACGCTGGCCCCCCTGGACTCGTTCGCCTCGGAGCTGGGCACCGAGTTCCACGTGAGGCTGGAGGCGCCGCATGTGGTGGACATGGGCCGCCAGGTGGGGGCGGGTGGGATGGTTGCCACATCACCCGCACAGCAAATACACAGCAACTGCACCGCAACCCCAGAACGCAACATGCCGAATACACCTAATGCTATGCACCCTATGCTTCAAGGGTAAGGTACAGCTCGAGCTGCGATACGGCACGTGAAAATATGGGGTTGGAGGGGAGTAAGAGGGTTGAAAGAGCTCCTGATACACACTTTGGATGCCTCCGTTTTCGTGTACCATAACCCCTTGCCTCGGTTTCTCCCCATGCTCGTATTCCTCCCCAGGTGTGGGCTGGCGTGGTGACCCGTGGGCCGGGCGGCTCCTCCCTGAGTGCCACCTTCAAAGAGAGCGCCACCTTCCGCTTCCAAGACGATGCGGGGGAGGCGGTGCTGCGATACTGCCAGGTACGACGTGCGGCACACGTCGTACGACGGCAAACCATCAGCTGTGTAGCACCCTAGCCTCAATGTCTTCCCGGTACTCTCTTGAACTGGGATATGCCGTATACAGGGTGTATTTATGTTTGAAAGTTTAGTATCATACAGTACATCACTATACCTCCTGGCGCAAACACACGTGCTTCAAATCCACACCATCCTATCCATTAACGGCCCCTCCCCAGGTCATCCCCGATGGTGTGCTGCTGTTCATGCCCAGCTACGGCTTGCTGGACAAGCTGATGACGCGATGGAAGGTGAGGAGGTGGGGTGGGGGATTCAGGAAAGACCAAACCATGGGAAACCGCGAATAGGGCAAAGCAATGGGGGGAATGAGGGGGAATGAAGACAAAGGGCGGAAATAAAAAAACACGAAGAAGCAGGGCCTCGCAGCAATCAAATCGGATATTTCGGGGGCTGTGCAGCTAAACCCCTGCCCTCAGTGCATCCTTTCCCACCCCGCCCCACCCCGCCCTCCGCCAGTCCACGGGTCTGTGGTCTCGTCTGGAGGGCGTCAAGACGGTGGTGGTGGAGGGGCGCGAGGCGGGCAAGGGTTTCGAGGACGCCATGGCGCGCTACTATGCGGCAGTGCGCAGCGGCAAGGGAGGGTTGTTCCTGGCGGTGTGCAGAGGGAAGGTAGGTTGGGTGGGGGCGCAGGTGGGGAGGGATCTGTGTTTGCGGGGTCGAGCGGGGCGCTGTTGTGCTGTTGGCTGGTGGTGTGGATGGACGTATGCAGGGTGTATGCTGCATACAAGCCGGCACGTTGGGATTGGCGTGAGTCCGCCGCAACTGACATATCGTTCCCCCTGCTTTCCCCTTCCCCCCCTCGTTACTTAATACCATACAGGCATCTGAGGGTATTGATTTTGCTAACGAGCACGCCCGCGGTGTCATTCTGCTGGGCATCCCCTTCCCAGCGGTCAAGGACACAAAGGCAAGAAGTCCAGAGGCAAACCAAACACGCCCCCCGTTAAGCGCATAAGCACCGCGCGCCTTTCACCCGAAATCCTGCTGCCTTTAGCTCACTCTCGGCCTTTTGCAAGCACTGGCCCCTGTCTCAGAAAGCGTCTTTGCCTCCCCTAACGCACCTGTGCCTCCTCTCCACATGTACACCCCACCCACGCATGTGCCTCTTCTCCACACACGAGCCCACCCCGAGCACCCGCCCCTGTCACCTGTCCCCTCCCGTACTCCAGGTGCGGCTGAAGAAGGAGTACAACGACGCGGGCAGCGGCCCCGCCAGCGGCCGCCCGCCCTCGCAGCGGCTGCTCAGCGGGGATGCGTGGTACAGCCAGCAGGCCTTCCGCGCTCTCAACCAGGTGGGGGCAGGTCAGGGTGCACCCAACCAGGTGGGGACAGGGCAGGGTGCACCCAACCAGGTGGGGGCAGGGCAGGGTGCACCCAACCAGGTGGGGACAGGGCAGGGTGCACCCAACCAGGTGGGGGCAGGGCAGGGTGCAAAGGGGAAAACCGCAGCCATGTGGCAAAGCTCCACCTTGGGGTGCAGCAGGGTAGGGTGCCCAAGCACGTGTGGGAATGAAGCAAGGCGTCCAGGACACTCGCGGCTGTTGCCCTGCCTCGTCTGCAGGCGGTGGGTCGCTGCATTCGTCACAAGTACGACTGGGGCGCCATCATCCTGCTGGACGAGCGCTTCCGGGGTCCGGGGCGGCAGCAGCAGCTGTCCAGATGGGTGCGAGCGGCGGTCAAGGTGGGTGGAGGGGGGGGAGCAACAACGCAACAAGGTTGACCGCCTACAACGCTTCGATGGGCGCCGCCTCCCCTTCTCTACTCTGCCTCGATCCCAACAAAGCCGTACCGCAAACGGAAAAATACCATCGCCACTAAGACCAACCGGGGTCCCCCTCCCGGGGGCTTGTCATTCAGTTTGCCATTACCATTCAACACATTGAGACTTCTTCTTTCCCCGACAGGTCCACGAGGACTTCGACTCCAGCGTCTCCGAGCTCGCCACCTTCTGCAAGACCCTCACAGCCGACCCGCCACGAGCCCCACCTCCGCCTCCGCCTCAACCGCAACCGCCACCGCCAACCGCAGCAGCAGCAGCCGCTGCCGCCGCTGCCAAGCAATCCAAGGAGGCAGCAGCTGGCGGTTGCGGCGAGAAGAAAGCAACACCCTTTGCTGCTGCTCTTGCCGCTGCAGCCACCGACGAATGGTCACCGCTGGTCACAACAGCCGGCACGGGTGCGACCAGCGGTGCTGCGGCTTGGTCGCGAGCAGCGAGGCCGGGGAGAGCAGTTGGGGGCAACAAGAAAGGCGCGATGGACTTGCAGTACGAGGAGGACGTGGTGGAGCCGGCGCCCGCTTTGCGTGGCGCAACACCGGCGCAACAACACCAGCAGGACCTGAAAGGAGCTGCTGCTCCCCCTGCTGCTGCTGCTGCTGCTGCTGGTGGTAATGGGGCACCTGCAGGGGGAGGTGGGCCCTTTGACCGCTTCCGTCTGATGGCCGCCTCAATGCCTGCGGCTCCTCCTCCTCAGCAGCCGCTAATGACTCAGCAGCCCATGGCGCCGCCACCACCGGCGGTGCTACCTGCGCAGACGGCGGCAGCAGTCACGCCAACAGCTAAAGCAGCGGGATCCGCGGCAGGTGGCAGCTGTGGGAACGGTGGTGGCAGCGGCGGCAATAGCGGTGTTGTGGACGCACGCTGCCGTCCCATCACATCCTTCTTTGCACCCATACGGAATGACGCGTCGGCGGGGGCTGGAACGGTGTCAGCTGCTCCAACCGGGTGCTGTGCTGGAGGGGGTGGTGGAGGAGCTGGTGCTGGAGCTGCAGGGAGGGGCTATGGGCCCGCGCAAGGAGGGGCTATGGGCCCGCAGGAGACAGTGCCCGGAGCCGGAGGAGCACCGGAAACAAGCGGCTTTGGCGGTGGTAACGGAGGATACGGCGGCAATGGGTCCCGAAATGGCGGAGGGGCCCAATGGGCGCCGTACGGAGGGGCCGGCGGCGGCGGCGGTGGAGGCAGCTACGAATCGCACCCTGCGGCAACTCAACAGCCTACGCAGCAGTATCAGGTTCGACCACCGCAGTTCGCCGCATGCGGACCCGTGGGTCAGCCATGTGCTAGCGCTCCTGCTCCTCCTCTTTGGCAGCCGCAGTCGCAACCTCAATGGCAGCAGCAGCAGCAACAGCAGCCCCAGTGGCAGCAGCAGCAGCAACGGTGGGTGCACCAGCCGTATCAAACACAACAGCAACCGCCACAACAAACGGCGCAACCGTCGTACGGAAATGCGGTGCCCGCTTCTTACGGGAATGGCTACGGAAGCGCTCATCAATCGTACATAGGCCAAAGCGGTCACGTTGGCGGCGACGTTGGAGGTGGCGGTGGCAGAGGGCCCCCGCCCTGCACGCCGCCTTCAGTTCCACGGCAGCAGCAGCAGCAGCAACCGTGGAGTGGCTCAAGCCAGCCGCAGTGGCAGGGCCAGCAGCAGGCGCGCTGGGAGGGGCAGCAGAGTGGGGCACAATCGCAACAGCCTTGGCAGGGCCAGCAGGAGCTACATAACCATGGGCAACTATGGCAGGGCCGGCAAGAGCAGCAGCAACAGCAGCAGCAGCATCAACAGCCCTGGCCCAACCAAACGCAGCCGGCTCCGCAGCAACAACAACAACATCACCAGCAGCAGCATGCGTGGCATGGCCAGCAGCAGCAGCAACAACAGCAATCCTGGTCAAGCACCCAACCACAACCACAATCGGGGCCAGGGCAGCCCTCATGGCAGGGGCCTGGGTGGGGTCCACAAGGGTCATTGATGTCCTCCGCAAGACCTCCTGCTCCGGACTGGACGCCCCAACAACAGCCGCGGCAGACTCAGGCTCAGCAGGAACCGTGGAGCGGCGCTCCTGTCCCTTCTGCGCAGCAGCAGCAGCAGTACTACCAAGAGCAGCACCAACAGTCGCAATGGCATCCGCCTGGGAGTACCCGAGCGGAGCAGCCGGCACCATGCCAACTGCTGTCGAATACGCAAAATCAGCACCGCCACCCTGAACAACAGCAGCTGCGGCAGCAACAGGGTGCATTTCATGGCAATCAGACCCGGGCAGGGCCTGGTGCGGTTGGAGGTGTTGGTGGACCATGGAACTGCAACAGCAGCAGCAACCAACAAGCCGTGTCGGTTGGGCTACAACAGCAGCACCACCATCACGATCAGCGGCAAGGTCAACAACCTGGCAGGGAAGAGGCAGTTGGTTGCGGTTCAAGCGGCGATGGTGGTGCTACAAGGTTACAGGACTGTACAGAGGAGAGGAGGGCGCCTGGTGCTGAGCCTGGTAGCAGTATCTGCAAGGGACTCACAGGAAGGGGGGAGGAGAAGCAGAGGTGGCATGGCGGAGGTGCAAGTAACGCTCGCGTGGGAGGAAGCACGACAAGCGGGATTGCAACATCTCGACCGGTCAAGCGGTTGACTTCAACCCGGGCACGCGAAGCCGCTGAGAAGAGAGTGCGGTTGCAGCAAGGCGGGGAGGCGCAAGCGGGAAAGAAGGATGGTGGCGGCACATGGGCGGGATTTATGAGCGGGAATGACGATGATGGTGATGATTTTGTATAAATGATAGCTTGGAATCCACGAGTTAGGTCACATAATAATCTTTAGTTTGGCGTTGGCCCCTGATTACGTCATGCAAGGCGTTGCGCAGGTTTCGAGCGGACAAGTAGGATGCGAGGCGGTGTTCTGACTAGTTTGGGTAAAATAGAAGTATAGCATGCTTTACATGCCTGGATCTATGCACCTGCGATGGTATGGCGGCGGCAGTGGCTTGCATCACAGTTGACCAAAAAGGCCGACGCTGCAGTTTTCAACACGCACTATGAACAGATAAACGAGTGGTGCATATGCATGCTGCGTTTACCGTTTAGCGGGAAGATCTCTAGTTTGCGATCCACCTCAGACGTACAAATGGGCAGGGCCGGACACGATTCCTCACTTTTCCACCTCAGGTACACGTCCGGTACAGGTTATATACCCAGGAAGGCCTGCATTAGCTTTTGCAAGCCCGTGTCCTCCTATTCGGCCGCAAGCCATAAACATATTAATATACTGCTCGTCTGCTCCCTCTTGTCTATAACAAGAGCCTTTATCCTATCAGCAGCTTGTGACTTGCGCCCATAAGTGAAGCAGTGAGCCGTCAGGGGTATTAAGGAGGCCAAACGACTCAGACACAGCGCTCTCCACGTCGACATCTCACTCCGGCTAGGTCCTGGTCGGTTGCAAGGGCATAGCTCAAAGCGTTCGTCGTCTTGACAACCAGCTCTAGTCGGTATGGCTCTCCTTCAACAGTCGTTCACGGGCTCGCGGCTTGGCCGATGCCAGGCCCAGACGGTACGCCCGCTTGGCAGCAGGCTTGGTCTCTCCCGGCCTCGTCTATCAGTAGTCGCAGCGTCTACCCCGGAGCGTGATGTCTCGACAAGGTGAATGGGCGTTATGTAGGCGTTATAAGGACGTGTCCCGCCTCTGCACGACCCTTGTGGCGGCACCCCTGCCTCCTGTGTGTCTCCTTGGGTTCTTAGGATGCCGGTTTATTTGTTACGCGGTTTGGGTCCTCTGTGCGCGCGTGAAACGCTGTCTGCCCACACTAAGGCTCCTCACATCGCGCATCCGGTACCATTGGTACTTGGTCACAGCCAGTGACCGCGCAAAAGCTGATATTCTACAATTATCGTCATGCCTATGGTTCATGCATTTATGATTGCCTATGCGTTAATGTTATCCCTTGCGTTAGCATGCGGTCGCCATCAGCGCAGCACGTGCTTCCTAGCCTACAGAATAGGTGCCTGCATTTCGTATAGACAGCTAAAGGTTAATGCACATGTTTATCTGACATCATAACGCTCGACAACATACCTTAGCATCCAATCAGCCGACTCTTCGCTCTCCTTTCTCCTGTTTTCCTCCCCTAACCTTCTCCTCTAACTACCCAACCCTCATCCCAACAGGGTTGCCGAGGCGGCTGTGCCCATCTCCACCGGCGCCAACGACATCGATGCTGACCGCTGGGCGGCCATGTCATACAACCAGCAGTATGACGAGCTCATGAAGAGCAAGCCGCTCAACACCAAGAAGGTCGTCCCCAAGCCCAGCAAGGAGGCCCAGGGCCAGATCCCCGGCGCCGGCAAGGTCATCCTCTCCGACGTCTACACCGTCCCGCGCCGCACCCTTTTCGGCCGCGAGCTGAACGCCAAGGACATCACCTTCATCTCCTTCATCGGCGGCATGCACCTTCTCGCCCTCGCTGCGCCCTTCACCTTCTCCTGGGACATGGTTGCGCTCTTCCTGGGCTCCTACTTTGTGACCGGCTGCCTGGGCATCACGCTGTCGTACCACCGCATGCTCAGCCACAAGTCCTTCACCGCGCCCAAGTGGCTGGAGTACACCCTTGCCTACTGCGGTGTGCTGGCTGTGGAGGTAAGCGCGCATACCGGAGCGTGCGTGTGTAGAGAGTGTGTGTGTGTGTGTGGGGGGGGGGGGCCTTGCGTATCTCGATGCCTGGCTGGCTGGGCCCTTTCGGTGTTCAGAGGCATGTGCTGTGCGCTGTTTGTGGGTATCCTTGCAATGTGTCCTGCATGCTCGCAGTGTGTTTGTGTTGCGTGCGAGGGCATACGCCGTTACCACTGAGAGCCTCCATTCCTCCTCCCCCCCTCCTCCCCACTTCCCCCCAGGGTGACCCCCTGGAGTGGACCAGCAGCCACCGCTACCACCACCTGCACACCGACACGCCGCTGGACCCGCACTCGCCGTACGAGGGATTCTTCCACAGCCACATGGGCTGGCTGCTGGACAACGTGGTGGGTGGTGCGGGTGGAGGTGTAGGAGGTTCCCTTGATGTTGGGTGTGATGATATGATGAATGGCGGTACGGTGGGGGACTAGCTGTTGACAACGGGGTGGGTGCGGGCGCCCTTGCGCCTGCTAGCCTGGGGGGCGGGGTTTGACTGGGGAGGGGGCTGCGGGCGCTGAGGACAGTGGTAGGGTATGTGAGAGGTTCACCGGGTGTGCGTTACGATTTGGCGTGTGAGCTGTTGAGCCCCAAACCATCGATAGCTCCAATGCGACGAGCGTTACCGTGCGTTATGGCCGCATACAGCGCCTTTCCCCCTTCCGTCTCACACGCCTCTCTTCTTTTCCTCACCTTGAGGCCCTCCTCTCCCTCCTCTCCCTCCTCTCTCCTCCTCTCTCCCTCCCCCCCCCCACCCGCCCCCCCAGGCCACCATGGAGCGCGTGTCCAACCGCACCAACGCGGACGACCTGGAGAGCCAGTGGTACTACCGCTGGCTGCGGGACACCTACGTCTGGCACGTGGCCGCCCAGCTGGGCCTGCTGTTCCTGGTGGGTGGGAACTGGCATGAAGGGAGGGGAGCTGGGAGAGGGTGGGGAAGTGCGCGCATGTGCTGCATGTGCTGCCGGGGTGCCGGTATGAGGGTGTGTATGGGGGGGGTGTATCTGTCGCTGGGTGTAGCTGATCGCGCGTCATGCTTGATACCTACCTCGTGCTCGGGTAGTTCACATCTTGCCTGTCTCTCCTCGCTCCTGCATTACTTAAATATGTTCACGCGATCCCTTTCTCGAACCTCCGCTAACTCTCTCCTTTCTCGAACCTCCGCTAACTCTCTCCTTTCTCGAACCTCCGCTAACTCTCTCCTTTCTCGAACCTCCGCTAACTCTCTCCTTTCTCGAACCTCCGCTAACTCTCTCCTTTCTCGAACCTCCGCTAACTCTCTCCTTTCTCGAACCTCCGCTAACTCTCTCCTTTCTTGAACCTCCGCTAACTCTCTCCTCCTGTCCTCCCTCCCTCACCTTCTCCGGCCAGGCCGGTGGCTTCCCGGCGCTGGTGTGGGGTGGTGCGCTGCGCATGTGCTGGGTGTGGCACATCACCTGGTTCGTCAACTCCGCCTCGCACTGCTGGGGGTACCAGGTGAGGTGGGGGAGGCGGCTGTGCCAGCTGCAGGTTGTGCTGGGATGTGGGCACCGGTATGAAGGAATGTGGACAAAGGAATGTTTACAGGACGTAGCGCGCTGGGTTCGTGTGTAGCGTAAGCACCTGGTCGTAAGCAGTTGTGTGCTGGGGCCTCGCAAGCATCTAGTGATGGACACAAATTGGGCACAAATTGGACACAAATTTTTTCTTTACATGTACATTCGGACATGTTGGTATCGGTACAAGTTGCCGCATGCCCAGTTCGCCGCCGCTGTTCCATAGATTACTTCCTTCAGATGCATTAGTTTCCCACACCCCATTAACCTCACCTCTGCCGCTTGCTTCTGCCCTTACAGATCTACAACACCGGTGACCTGTCCCGCAACAACTGGTGGGTGGGCATCCTGGCTTTCGGCGAGGGCTGGCATAACAACCACCACGCCTTTGAGTTCAGCGCTCGTCACGGCTTCGAGTGGTGGCAGGTGGACATGACCTGGTACATCATCTGGAGCCTGAACAAGCTGGGGCTCATCAGCAACGTCAAGCTGCCCACGGAGAGGCAGAAGGCTCGCCTGCTTATCAAGAAGGATTAAGTGGTGAATCCTGCGCGACGTGAGGACGTGCGAATGATGAAGTGAGGAATGGAGTTTCGCGTGAAAATGGGAACCCATGTTTGTTGTGAAGAATACTCGATGGGTTGGCATAACAGAATGGTTGTTGAAGTCTGGCAGGGGAGGTGGTTTTGCATCGGCACATCATTTTGTCATTTTCCGGACATAACGACCAACCAACTCCGCGGCTGTGGTGGGGTATTACTGCAGGTCTGCTGGGTTGGGAATGTGAGCAAGAAGTTACGCCGGTATAGCAGGAGGCGGGTATGTGACCCATGGGTCTGCAGATGCACTCGGGCGAGTGCATTGGATCCAATGGATTTCGCGAGGCGGTTTGAGGTGTGAGGCGGCAGCGCTTTGGAGGCCGCTGAGAGGCTTTTCGTTTGTTGTGCGATTGTCCTTGTCCGTTGGCGATTTCGGTGTTTGTGGCTGGTGGTGGTCCCCTTACTATTAATCCTAGGCTAGTATATCACGTTGTCTCTGTTGGTAGTATTCTAACCGATTTGGAGCTGCAGCAGCAGCAGCAGCAACGGCAGTGGCGCGGGGGTTGCTGTGCTGAGCAGTTATACTGTGATGTGCGTGGACAACGACAACAAGGAGGAACCGGCAATCGCAGGGAGGAGCAGGGAAACTGGTATCTGGCGCCGGCGGAAACGAGGTAGAGCAGTGCTTATGGAAGTTACGTCGTGCAACGTACGCGGTTTGCAGGCGGTTTCTAGCTGTTGCCGCCACTGCTGTTGCGTCTGTGCTCGTGCAGCCGATACGGTGTCGTGCTTTACACGTCTCGTTTCACACCGTTTCATACGTCTGGAGCGGTTGTCAAGTGGGGCTGTGTTTTGCGCTGTTGTAGACGGGAAGGGGTAGAGAGCGTGTGAAGAATGCCTTTACTATCGGTGCATGTTGTCGCCGGTTCGGCCAGGCGGTTCATTCCCTTGCGCGGTCTCTCGGCCCCGATTTTGAACACGTGCTTATCAGCGATGTGGCTCTTTTTGCCATGTACGCTCTCGCCTTGAAGAAGTGGTTTGCACAGCATTTCCGGTTTTCTTTCCCCACCTCCATTTCACACGTACGGCGGCCGAGTATAGGGTGCATGGCGCGGCTTCCCGGTGGTTTCCCAACCCGCCGTCGTTGCCGCTCGTTTGACCTATTTAGAGCCTGTGTTCTACACGTGCCCGTGTTGTTGTTTGGAGGGTTTTCCTTGGGAGGTCTGTGCCTGGTTCCCTATTATGTGTGCGCAAATGCATACGACTGTTAAGTTGTGCCGTTGATGTTGCTACGCTTGGCTTGGCTTGGGATGTGTTGAGGTTGTCCATGTAAGGGGTTTTGAGGAGGGTTATTTGCTGAGGAGGGCTGATTGCTGTCAACGGCTGTCAAGGATAGAAGCCTCTTTGGGCGGTTGGTGTGTAATGTGAAAACTCCTTTTGGGTTGCGGGTTGGGGTTGTGATGACCCGACGTCGGTCGACACTTGGCTCAGTTTGATAAGTCGTGAGTCATGTCTTGCTACATATTCCTTCCTTTGTCGTAAGGACTAAAACTGTAGCCGTAGTTGGTTGAACTAGGGTTGTGTTCGGTTGATTGGAGCTCAAGCAAGTTAAAGAAATGTTGTGGCCTAAATTGAAGGTTATTCAATGGGCCTCTGTTGCGTGTACTTTGTAGGGGCCAAGGTGCGTGGCACGTGCCACTAGTAACCTAGTAATGGTTTGCCACAAGAGGGGCAGGAAGGCCTCCTTCCTATGTGGTTGGTTGTCGCAGCCAGCACACGACATGTGCTCTACAGTCAAGACGTTCCCCTTTGCCAGACATTTTACGCAATGTCGTGTGCCCCATAGCTGAAAATGGTAAAACCTATTCTAGTGGCATAGCGCATGCGTACGAAAATAAGCCCGTTGCGGCAACAGTCACAGCTTTGTAACAAAAAAACGTGCAGATCTTACCGTACCGTTGCAATTCCACGTTTTACAACGGCAAACGGTATATTGGACAGCAATAAGTAACATGTCTACTGCGCATTGCCACGGCATATATCCAAGCGGTAAATCATGGTTATCTGGTGGGTTTAACTGCCCCCAAGTACAATCCATGATTCGTTCCACCTCGCCCCGATAACAATCGACTTTCGACTATCAGCACCTGCTTGAACCTGGCCCATGAATACTCGAAATGTTTAATGACACATCTGTGTGACGGGGTTACAAATTACCGGGACCTGTGACCCTATGTCGGGCGGCGTACGTGCCTCCGGCGTCTACCTGCCTGTACCGCCGGTCGACGACCGCTGTACTAACAAACTTGCTCTTCTGACCTTTTTAACATTCCCTTCTCTTTTCGGTATGTATCGTAAAAGCACCGTAAAGCCGCCGCCAAGCGAGCAAAGCGACCAAAGGCAGCTGAGCCGGATCGAACGAAACTGCCAGCATCCGGACGGCTTCAGGAGGTCGATTCATGGTGCTTTACGCTGCTATAGACCGCATTGTTACTCTTTGCCTAGACTTTCTCATACCAAGTGCTCTGCCTTTATAAGCAGACCGCTCTACCAACGCCATGGCTGCGGAAGACAAAGCAGAAGCAACCTTGTACCCAAAGCTCAAGTCGATCGAAGAAAGCCACCCGCTAACGCCTTCTCCTTCTCCGGCCGGACTAACAGCAACAACAACGGCGACAATAAATTCTACGGCTGCCACAACAGGCTACCCTGCAGGCCAGGCTGTTTCTTTTGCCGCTGACAACTTCACCGCTACCACATCTGCCGTCATCAACAACTTCGATGCCGCCGGAAAGTACACCTTCAAATGTAGCGGGGCTTTTCCGGCGGTTGAGGTGGCGATTCGTCCAGGGGATGGCATCAAGAGCCAAGCAGGAGCCATGGTGTCCATGAGCGACAACGTGGAAATCGAGACGGAGCTGGAGGGAGGCCTCATGCGTTCCCTGCTGCGATGCTGCTTCGTGGACAGCACGCTTTTCCTGAGTCACTACAAGTAAGATGGCGTTCGCTTATGACCCATGGGTCAGTTCTACGTCTTGTGACGATTACCGGAACTCCACATGATCAGCGAAACGCGGGCTCGAACTTGCTTGGCCACAGAAATGTGTCTCCTCTTCTACTAAGCGCTGTATTTTGCACGTGCTTTTCAATTCCTTACAACGCAGACGCCGTGCATGCCAGCTAACCACGATAGCAACCAATCCACCATGCTGCTGGGCATTTGTGCGCACGCCTGCAGGCTGCGTCCTGAAGCTCAAGCTGCAGCCGCCGTGACCCCCAGCGACGGTGGAGCTGCATCTGCCGGCCCCCGCGGTGACGTGCTGCTAGCGCCGCCTGCGCCCGGAGAGGTGCTGCTGCTGCAGCTGGACGAGGCCAACCCGGGTGCGTGGGTACGGCATGTGTAAGGGAGCAGCTGCGGGGGAAGAGGTAGCAAGGGAAGCTAGAGAGAATGGGGGCCTGGATAGGAGCATGCATGTGGGGAATGGGGGTACATGAGGGAGAGGGTAACGCTGATGTTGACGGAACAGACGGCACTAGCGTGCTTGACGGCGACGCCCTGCCTCGCCTTCCCTAGCTTTCCCCTGCATGCACACCCCATCCATGCGCCCCTACCTCCACAGCACGCCTATTTTTGTCTCACCCGCAGGCTGGGTGGTGCAGCGGGGCGGGTTCCTTGCTGCTGATGAGAGCGTGTCTCTGGGAGTCAAGATGCTTTCCATGCCGCAGGTGGGTACCAGTGGGCGGATGGGTAGAGCTGCTGACCCATGGGTCAGTAGCGACTCTGCATTTTGTGAAGTCGGGTGTTTACCGCAGTCCCCATTTCGCTACACAACGAACTGTATCCACGCAACGGTACACGTATGCCCTTCCTCCCTCTTTTCCTTCCCTAACCCCTCTCCCCATACGTTAACCCTTGCCGCCTCCTACCCTCCTCCATGCGTGCATGCACCGCCAGGGCTGCTGCGGCGGCGAGGGCCTGTTTGTGATGCAGGCGCGGGGCCGGGGCAGGTTGCTGGTGGCCTCGTACGGCAGCGTGACGCGGTACGACCTGGCACCTGGGGAGCGGCGCAGGATAGGTGGGTGTTGGCTTCAAGTACCGGTAAGGAAACAATGTAGAAGCAGAGCCTTGCTCCTTGCCTCTCTTGAAGTCAAGGATACAATGTAGAAGCAGAGCCTTGCTCCTTGCCTCTTGCCTCTTGCCTGAATCCTGCAAAGCAAAGCCTTTTCAAGCCCTTCCAACGCCGCGAATACGCGGGTATTGGGCGGTCACGTAGGACACAAAAGGGGAGTTGAAGCTGGTAGGCGGGTAGGTAACTGCTCCATGTATGCGCCCTTCCGGTGCTCATTCCGCCTCTGCTCCCTGCCTGCAAGTCCATGACTCCCTCGTTCCTCGGTCCGCCCGCCCCGCCAGACAACGGCTACTGCGTTGCTTGGTCATCCAACATGCAGTGGGACATCACCCCAGCCGCCAAATCCTCCCTGATCCGCAGCTGGATGTCAGGCGAAGGCCTGGTGGCGGCATTCACAGGGCCCGGAACCGTGTTCGTACAAACCAGGTCGCTCCGAAACCTGGCGAAGGTCCTGGCGCCACACCTACCTCTGGCAGGAGGAGGAGGAAGTGGGAGTGGTGGGGATGGCGCGGTGTGATGACAAGCAAGGTGTATAGAGCAGGAGTGTGACTGCTGTGTGAGTGGGTTTTGGCGCCACGGCTGTTGCTGGAAAGGGAAGGTAGTTGGGGGAGTGGGAGTGCGAGTGCGTGGGAGTGGAAGTGGGAGTGGGGAGGGACAGGCTCGGTGCAGTACGATAGTTGTTTGAGGCACAGCAGTACAATTAGGGCTGCTGGGAGTTACGGCTATGGACATGACGAGCTCAGGATACATGGCTTTAAGACACGGGAGCTTTTTTGTTTGTTTGTGCGGAATGGCTGTTGTGGCTGGTGAAATGCAAGGCATTTTCTTTGCGGTGGTTTGCCGAGTTCTCCAATACCGGTCGTTGAAGATGGCGCTCTTGCCTTCACCAAGAGCATTTGTTGGCGGCTCATGGCAATATGAATTTGCGAATGAGATACAAACGCGAAGGCTAAACCGTTGTTTGTGTCACGTGGGTGTGAATTTTGTGAGCATACCGGAGTGAGCCGGCCTTCTCGTACCAACTGCGGGCGTGTACGAATGAACGGCACGTCCAAGACAAGAGCCTGATTGGGACCTTAATAACTGGTGTTTGACGGTTAAGGTTGTGGTCTCGATTCATCCGAACGCCTACGAACAGGCCTTACCTCTCAAATAAATAAAGCCACAGGCCAGTTGTTCCTCCCGCCACAGTTCGGTTCCCTTTGCCACAGCCTTAACCACTTTCACCATCCAATTTCTCCAAACACACCTTGTGTCTAGTGATAGCGGAAACGTATTGAAAAAAAACCCGCAAGGCTGGTATGATGTGCCACCGTAGTGTGGGACGCCGTCGCCGGGTCCTTGGCTCCGAGTCCTTTGCGCGCGTCAGCAGCACGACATGGCTCCTGGCAGCGATGTTGCTAGCGCTGACCCATGGGTCACACCTGGCAGAAGCTCAGGACCTGGGCTGGACTAAACTGCCGTACCCACCCTACCCAGTCGGAGAGAGCACCGCAGGGATCCTAAAGGTTGGTTGCCGTAATCCTATACCGGGCTGACAGGCAGGTAACAGGAGCCTTCCCAGTTAGTACCTGCACTTTCGTACGCGATTCCCTCCTCCCTGCTATATACGGCATCGGCCTACAGTGGTATGCGTGACATGATTCCGTGCGCATCCGTCCTTCTTTTGCCCCTACCTCCCGGTATCTAATGTCATGGACGCGTACGTACGGCACAGGACGCGTACGACAACCCGATTCTGGTAGTGGTTGGTCACTCCACCCCTCAGCAGTACAGTGCCGCCACCCAGGTGTTGGACATTAACGCCGGCAAGTGGTCAAGGTGCGTTTCATGCTGCATGCATGGGTGTCTCCGGACTAAGGCGGGGGCTTGGTGACATTACCGGTATGCTAAGAAGGCTAAGAAGGACTATCGTCATGCACCGTCAGTGGTGTCCTGTAAGCAGCCCGCTTGCTCCTGAAGCACCTGTGCAATTGTAACCAATACGGTTGCGTTAATAAATCGCTGCTGAAAGTACAGCTGTACGGCAAAACACTCCGAAAAATATACCTCAGGAGGGCGGATCGGCTGCACATCTCTCACCACATGGCCGGGGCAACGGCGGGGAACAAGCTCTACCTCATCGGCGGCTACGAGGATAAGGCATGGGGTAGGTGCATCACGATGCTATGTTAGGTCTGTGCCTTATCGCACCTCCGCAACTAAACTGGCGGCTCATACCTCGGCTGGATTTCGACAAATCCTTGTCAGTTTTCGCGCCTCCTCCACGCTCCCATGTCCCACCGCTGGCCTTCGATGCCATCACGCAGGCAAGGTTCAGATTTATGACCCTATCAAGGACAAGTGGACGCATGGCCCCGACTGTCCCGTTGTGAGCGGTGCGGGCTGCGGTACGGCACTCGGCAACTCCATTTACTACTGCGGAGGCATTGCGAATGGCAACCAGAGGAACGGCCGGCCGCTAACATCCTGCGCGTAAGGAACAAAGGGACGCGGCGATGGGATGCCGGGCTTGTCATACAGCACGTAGAGCTTAATCTTCGGATGTTGTACCAATCACTATCATATGTAACACGCGCACAACAACCACTACATACAGCGTCCGAAACTACCTGTAGGTATCAGTCCCCTGCACGCATTACTCGCAACTGGGATGTCGCACATGCAACTCAGTACACAGGCTTTCGCCGGGCAGGTGGACTGCTAAGCCGGCAGCATTTACCGTAGTGTGTGGACGCAATCGGTATGTCCGGCACAATATGCTGACTTACTGCCGTGCGCTACATGTCTCTGCCCTTAACATGACCCGCCGTGCAG